TGTGTGGAAAGAGCCGAATCGAATCCCCCGGGATTGATTTTTCTTTGATTGGGAGGGGCGAATGTCGCGTGTATCCCGATCAAAGTGAAGAATGGTCTATCTCAGGGACGTACAAGCCTTGTTTAAGTCGATAATTAAAATCATGCCTAAGGAGTAGAGTCTAGCGAAGAACTGTATGATGGCCTTGAAAATTTATTTAGAAGCATTTGTAGTGTCGGGAGTTCCTTATATTCATCTTTTTTGAAAATCTGGAGGTATCTTCTTGACTAAATATGTGTCAAGGTTGTCCCCCAGTCTGATCTGATTACCATGAATTGATTTGAACAATAGCAGTTGAATAGCCTTGTTGAGGTGTGAGGCGAAATTGCCCCCCAGTCGGAATCCATTTCCCACAGACGGCGCCAACTTGTGCGTCCTAGAAAATTCGCGCGTTAGAGAAAATATAAAGATTAATGCCGTTAGCTTTGTACGAAGATCCAGAACACAACAGAAAAAGGATGAGGGTGTAAGTTCATAAGAGACACCAGAGTTTTTACGTGGAAACCCACTGAAAAGGGGGAATAAACCAAGGGGCCTACCCAGTCTAAATGAATCCATTATGTTGCAGCTCATTACAAATGAGGCCCTTCCTTTCCTTCTTCTTCCTCCTTTCTCACAAGAAGAGTGGGGGCTATTTATAGTTTTTGAGAGTGGCATGCTTGTAAATATGTGGAGGATCAAGGTTAAAATGGGAGCGTTTGAATGGACGGCGATAATTGATCCCCTGATCATAGACCGTTTAATGGTCATATTGTAAGCCTTAATAATATCGGAATTCAGTGATATTGGGAGCTCGTTGGATTCGTCTCGTCGAGCCGTTGATTCGGAATATATGCATGCCATATTTGGAAAAACGTTTGGTAACCAAATTGTGGTTTGAACCCTTCAACGGTGCTTCAGACCCTTTGATTTGGACCCATTCTAGTCGAGATTGAGTCGAATTTGGTGTTGTTGGGCTCGTTCTTCTCGAGACATTCAGTTTGATTATAAGTTTGTTTAAATTGGAGTTTGGATGGTCTCAGATTTAATTTTCGAAGTTTCCAACTGATTATGCCTCAAGATTCGTGCCGATCAAGATAATTTTTGAGACTATCAATGACGATAATTGTATTTTGGCAGCGGTTTATTTTAGTCATTTTCTTGCCATAAAATAAAAATATGCGACTCTACACATTATAAAACTCATGCAATATTAATGAGATGTCTCGTGTCAAATAATTATTAAATCCTCAAATAATATATGCTAATATTATTTATGAAAGTCCACGATCATAAATGTGCCAACAATAATATATAAATTTGACTATAAATTATATTATTTTTATTTAGGATTTTGACTAACCAAATTCTTATTGAATTTGCTTTAAGTCATTATCTATTAATTCTTCACAGTTGAAAAGTCTGATCAGTGTGAATTTCTTGGACTGATGACAGCATCCATTCAGCATAATTCATATTTAAATGTTGAAGACGAGCCTTAGTCAAATGGATGATGTGGAAAGAACATTTATGTACTACTATTGCAAGTTTATTTTGATTCTCTCTCTCTGTGCAAATTCTCAAAAAAAAAAAAAAAAAAAAAATTGTGCATAGAAGTAATAAAATTATTTTTACTTATTAAAATTCATAGATTTTTTTATTAGATTTAGTTAAATTATATAACACGAAACTATTAAATTATTTGGCTTTTGTTTTTTTTCATTTAAAAGAAAAAAATTATATTCAGAATATTAGGTGTATAGTGCAAATAGGTTCACACTGAGCTCGAGTCAAATGAAGTGGCTGATCGAAGTTGATCTCACGAGTCAATTAGATGGACTAGCAATCAGTCGCTAAATGCGGGCTCATCTTTTATATGAAAAGTTCTAATGCATATCTCATGTTAATTAACGAGATATAATTAGCATGACTACTTCCTATAACAAGACTTTTGTTAGGTTATACTGTGTCAGTCATATATTTATATTTTAAAGTTAGCATTGCCTCTACTTTCATCTATTTAATAATAAAGTATAAAGGCAAGCCTAAAGATTAAAATCACTTATTTTTCTCTCCTCTGTACTTTCGGACAATAAAATAACAAATATTTCTCTTCTCTCTCTCTCTCTCTCTCTCTCTCTTCTTATATGCTCTTTTTCTCGTTATCAATATTTTTCATAGCCAATCTTTTGTGGTAAGGTTAGGGTATCTGCCTACAGATAAAATCAGATTCAATATCAGGATGCTCTTTAAATTCTACTATACAACAACAACAGCATTATCAAGCCTTTATCCCACTACATGGGGTCGGCTACATGAATCCTTTTTCTCCATTGTGCATATTAAAAGTCAAATTCTCATTTAAATCTAATAAAAGGAAGGTCATTCCTATATTTTCTAACAAGTCTTTTTTAGGTCTACCCTACCTTTCTTAACATAAGTCAAATCTAATACCTCTATTCTCCTAACCGGGTCATCGCAAGGCCGCCGTTTATGTACCAAACATCTAAGGCGACTTTCTCTAATCTTATCTTCTATGAGCTACTCCAACCTTTTACGTATTATGCTCATTTCGTATCCTATCTCTAAGGTAAAGCCACTCATCCATGAATCCTTTAAATTCTACTATGCATTCAAAAAAAAAATATTTTTCAAAATCCTTAAATTTTAAATAAAAAATTTAAATTTTAATGCAATTTGAAAGATATTGTTATAATTTATATTAGAATATGTTGAAATTATATATAAAATATATTTGTAAATATGTAATTTTACATATGTTAGACAACAACTCA